TATGTCATGTGTGCCCACTCATTTGAAGACCTCCAAAACATTCTTGACTACTTCTGTGGAGTATATGAAATGCTCGGACTCTCTGTCAACTTCACAAAAATCAAAATATTTTACCAATCCACCACAAGCCAAACAACAGCTTCTCCTCATATTAAAATTAAAGGGTATTAGAATTAAAGGGTAGTCTTTGGAGAATGGTGAGCATTTCCCCTACCTGGGTAGCCACCTTTTCCAAAAAAAGTTAACAGAGATGACAATATTCAGCACCAGATAAAATCTGCCAGTGCTGTCTCTGGACATCTCAAAAATCATATCTTCAATGATCATGAGAGCGGGACCCAAACCAAACTTCTCATCTACCAGGCTGTTGCTATTCCTACCTGGCTGTATGGGTGTTAAACTTAGATGACATATCAGAAATACCTGAAAGCCTTGAAATGTTACCATCAGCAATATGTTTGGACTAACCTCTGTAGCAAGGACAGAAGAACAAATGCCAACATTCTTACTCAAGCAAACATCACAAAATCCATATTTATACAGCACCAGCTCCATTGGACAGGGCATGTCATAAGGATGCCTGACAAACCGCTTTCAAAACAAGTCCTATCCTCCCAGCTCACTGATGGTCACCACTCTAGAGCAAGATTCAAGGACACCTTGAAGGCCAGTCTGAAGAAATGCAATATTAATATTGATACCTGGGAAACTTAAGCATTGAATTGTCCCCAGTGGCTCCATGATATACAACAAGGCATTCTTGTTCAAGCAAACTTGCCTCACTATGGAGGCAGAGAGATGAGACATACAAAGGGCAATAGCTGTGACCTGACATCACTAGGGGCTGTTCCTTTGTCCTGAAACTATTTGCCATGTCTTCAGTCAAATATGCAGTTCTCAGATTGGCCTCCTGAGTCATCTCCAAGCTAACTGATTTCTCCCCTATTTGCTGAAAGTCTGTCATCCTCATATGGAAGGACTGCTGTTTCTGACAATGATGATTGAGGAAGGTACTACCTTATCTATTTGAGGATGCCCTGACCCTGAGAGACTCCAGAAACCTGCCACTTCCATTAATTTTAAGGGAGAAAAACAGGGGCTTAACACTGCTCTGGCTCTGCCCCATATTTTCCTTCAAAGGAAAATACTGCTCAGCATGACACACATTGGAAGCATTCAACATCACTGCAGGGGAAGTGGTATTAATTAGAAATGGTTTATTATACTCTATTATCTCTATTTTTCTTATATTTTCTAACAAACAGCAGAAATGCTGAGAACATTTGCAGCATCTCTGGGCACATCCCTATGAACAGAAACATGCATTTCCCCAGGGACAAGTAGCACTGGCACACCTTGTGATGCTTCTACTTGTCCCTGGGGAATACCTGTGCCATGTGCACTCTGGTGCAAAGCCTGTTGCCCCAGGTGGGACAGGGGAGGCTGGGGCCAACAACTGTACTGGCCCCAGCAGCCTTAACTGGGGCCTCTAGGAACAACAGCTGTGGAATTCCTGCAGCAGGGAGCATGGTCAGCAGTTGGAGCATGGCTCTGACTGGTCAGGCTCTGGTTTTGGGCGGTGCATGCTACCACCATTTATACCACTCTGCTTTTTTTTTAGGTGCAGTTTTTTTTTGGTCCTGGAATCTCTCAGGGTAAAAAAACAAACAAAACAAACAACACCCCCCCCCGGCAACACGTTGCAAAGTAGCAATACGGGGAATGCCTGCAGGTGCAGCATGTGAGGCACATGGCACTGCAGACAGGACTGCAGCACCACATACTGCACAGCTGCACTCTTCTGGATGATCCCTCTGAGTTCATCTGAGACAGCATTCGCTCTTCTGCAGAAAGTCCCTAGAAGGTCTATATGCCCAGATCTGTTTTTTTTATCAGCACAGGACTTCTGGAGATTCCCTGCAGAGGGATGCATTTCACTCTCATTAATTACCACTTTTTCTGTTGAAACTGTGAGCTGAATCTTATTAAGTGGTATATGTTCATGGTTCTCGCTCTTCGATATCTGCATGTCCGTAAAAACGACACAACCCTTATGAAACCCTTATGCTTCAGGACATAGAACAACTGACTAGGTCTGGTAAGATGTTTGTTCAATGGGAATATTATTACAAATTGTCTTTTACAAAAGATTATGCTTACTGAGGAACATAGTACTAGCTGAGTATAGAAACTGATTATTGAATTAGATAGAACAATTGCCTAATATAGTAGGACAGAGGTATCAAATGCACTGGGCCCCATAGGCCAAGCCCCTGCAGGGCTACCTATAGGCCAGATGATCCTTGAGCACCGGTGGTAGCATTACCTCCCATGGCTCCAGAATCCAGGCAGGTAACATTATTGCCACTCCATTCCCCGTTCCCCCTGGGGTTGATCTAAGTCAGCAAGGATAACTAAAAACCCTGCTTTTGGTGGAAGGTAAAGTGTTGGGGTGTGGAGGAGTGGGGGAGTGACCATCAGCATTAACTCCCTGGGTTGTAGAGCTGTGCTGAAACAGGAGCTCTGGCAGTCAGGGGGTCAATGCTGCTGCCACAGGGGCTCTTGCAGCCATGGCAACAACCCCTGTAGGCTGAATCTCTTCAGAGATGTATGGTCCAGCCTGTAAGAAGTCATAAAAAATCCTATGGGCCAGACAACCCAATTGTGCAGGCCAGGTCTGGCCCATGGGCCATATGTTTGAACCACGCCGTACGTTTGCCAGTGGTAAGGCACTGTGCCAAGGAGTAGAGAGTGAACACTAAAAGGATTGGGCCTTGGACCAGTATGTTCTTACATTTGTTTGTTCAAAGCACTACTGTATTTTCTGCAGAAATTTTTCATCCTCCTGCCAGGCTGGATGGTGACAGATCCTAATTAGCAAAAAGAGAATGCTTGGAAATGCCAATGAACAAACTCACTGCTCCACAGCACAGGCATCTCTTTTCCTTTAAAGATTTGCCCATTTTCAGGCATCACTATATGCTATCTAAAGAAGACGGACTGTTTAGCAGAACGGCCTATAAGATGATTGGATGGATCTAATACCTACTAACTGTTAAGTTTATTGTTTTGTAAACTGATAACACACTGATATTTTGTTTTGTTCTTATGCCCTGCAGCATGTCTCTAGTCCCAGCCAAAAACACCTAGCACATTCAATTTGATTTATTTGTAAAATTGATCCTGACATTTTTTTTTTTTGTATCTTTGAGTCATTCATGGTGCCTTTATTGCTTTTCTTCAGGTGTAAGGTCAGTTTAATATGTCAGTTAGATACTGTATTTCCTTATCAATGTCAGTGTAAAAAAACTGCAACTTGATCAGCCTGACTTCAGGCTCAGCCGTGCCTGACAGAAAAAGAGCCCTCTCAAACATTTTTGGCATATTTATTAGCATTCCCCAAGTCATCTCAGAGGCTCCCTTGGAACCACAATTCATAACTTTCTGGTCTTGCACAATTTGGGAGACTGTGGCCACGTTTAAACAAGACACTGACTGCATAGTTGTCATCATACAATCATTTAGTACTTGCCCACCCAAGTACTAAATGACTGGGTACTACGCAGTAGCATCCCTGCACAGCTTCCTGGTGACACTGACTGTGCAGGAGCTCATTACTACTGCGCAGTAGCATCACATCACGGTTCATGCCATACAACACTACTGCGCAGTAAGCATCTTGTGTAGATGCAGCCTCTGGATAGCACAGAAAAACTTAAAAAGAAAAACAGGAAAAGAAGTGGTGAATCAAACATTTGTCCACTTCATTAATTATTCAAACCTTCCTAAAAAATTGCTTAATGATACATGGTATGGATTTCACTTGAATTCTACACCTGCAAACCTCAGTGGTTCACAGAATGGTTAAAGCATTTTTTCTCCCTATTTTGCAGGCAGGTTAATTGAAGTAAAGAAAGGTTAAGCATTTTTTAAAATTGTTTTTAAAATGGGAGGTGTGGTTCCTTGACACATCTGAAAAAAAATTCTCAACATCTCAACATTTTAGATGCCTAATTTGAAGCACTTTCAATTAAAAGTATTGTTCTTATGGATTTAAGCAAAGTTGCACATGTCAACTCCACAACAAACTGAGGCTGATTCTTAACTCTATACTAACTCAACTAAACCACATGTCTTCATAGTGAGACAGAATTGACGCTATAAATACATACCAGATTGAAAATACTGATTTATTGCCTGGTAAATTTGGAAATGGGTGCTTGAGTTTAGATTACCATGTTCCTATTTAGTCACTTAAAAAAACTGGGCTGTTTTTTAAAAGTATTGATTACCCTCCAATTAAAGTAAATGGAAGATGCAGATTGCTCAGTTTCATCCAAAATTACGGCACTTACTTTGGATTACATCTAATACAGAAGCATAACTTTGGGTGCCCTCTTTTAACAATCTTTAATTTGAGTCCTTTTATTTTCAATTATGCCCAGATTTTTAAATTCAAGTTTACATAAATAACTTCACACCTCTAATGTGTGTGTACAAATGCTACAAGGCAGAATGCAAATAAGATATCTGTGCCAAGATGTGGCCATTTGCATCCCAAGTAGCTAAATCTCCATACAAATTAAAACAGATTTTCACACATTCATTTGATACATACATGAACATTTCTTTGAAAAATCTGGACTACTTTGACTTGTGTTTCAGTTTTAAAAAGTCCTAAATCAGCTGCTTGTGCATATTTAAACCTAAGAATAATGGTAGAATTACACACTTTAAAATACTTTCTATTTCATTAAGACCTTTTCACCATATATACTGCAATGCTCACAGCTGTTACCTGTACCTGAATTGAGTTCAGATTCGTTTTTTGAATGCCAATCTTGAGCTCAACACATCAGTTCTTGTACTCTGATTAGACAATATACTAATAATGTGCTTAATAATAGGATAGTAGGATAATAAAATCACAAACACCTTATTAGGTGTTTATCCATAAAACAAAAGTGTCTTGAGAAAAAGAGTATAGATTCCATACTGACCATAGTCTGTGTTTTCCGGCTCCCAACAATTTGATGGCCAAAAATAGGGTGTCTATACAGCAAAACAAAACAAAAGAATAGGGAAGACAGGTTAGATAAAGCAATTGTTACACAAGTGTTGGACCAACACTGTTTTGTAAAGTTTATTTACATTTTTTCATAGATCAGCTATGACATATCTTCAGAACTTTTTTTAATAGATATTAAAATAGTGAAATTATCTTTGTGCACTTCTTTGTCAAACTGTGGCAGAATGGTATTCAGAGGAATTAAGTTTTCATAGTTTCATAGTAGCTGGGGTCAGGAGGGACCTGAACAGATCATCTAGCCTGACCCCCTGTGACAGGCAGGAATGAATGCTGGGTTCACAAGACCCCAGACAGGTGATCGTCCAACCTCTCTTGAATTTGCCCAAGGTAGGGGCAAGGACCACGTCCCTGGGAATTTGGTTCCAGGTTCCCAGATGGCTTTTGGCCCCAAAGTCAATGGCAAAGGTGTAACAATGCAACTGAGCACGCAGGATATCTGTAACACACAGGCAGCAATGACTTCTGACTGCCCTTGCACTCCTATTGGTGCCCAGAGTGGCTGCTGCAGTCACCCCAATCCAATTACTCACTAGTACATGGCAAAATTTTGGTGGATTTATGTGGATTCAATTTTTTACCCTCTGTCTTTAGTACATTTCCCTATCCGGACAACTAGAGAGCATTGCCAACAAAAATTAGGCAATGGGGCTGTTTTTAAAATCACTTTTCCCCTCTAGAAATAAGAAAAACATGGAAGTTAATCTTCCAGCTTTTTTCTATTTACTGGGCAGTAAGAGGGTAAAAGAGTCATGATTTAACTTCAAAGGCTGAGCTCCTGGTTATTAAAAATTTCCCTGCTGCTCTATAACGAAGAAGTCTAAATTAATAATATCTCCTGCAAATTACACCAGTGCCATACTAATGAAATCCATCTGACCATACAAGTGTGAATGACAAGACTTTCCCAGAGAACTTTAAGATCATTTGCTTATTTAGTGAAATTTAATATGACAAATACACAAAAATAATTTTAAAATATATTACTTCTCTTACAACATATATACCAAAGATAATTAATCTTGCTCCCATTATAGTTAATGGCAGGAAGCCATTGCTTTGCAGTGTGGTCAAAATTAGAATTTGGGCTAACAAAATGGAAATAAAATTGTGACAATGTTATTGTGTGTGATTAAAATGAACATGGGTTCACTATTATTATATCAAGATTAAAAACCTTGCCTCTCAGACACTTCCATTAAAGCTACAACATCATTCCTATACCAAGACACAAAGTTATGGGCTTGGCCTCTGCAAATTGCTAGTACATTTTTTTTCAAATGGAAACCTTTTTTTTTTTGTCTTAGACATGAGATTTTTGATACAATATGATTTGATTTGATTTGACAACACTGGGATATTAAAAAGCCTCTCTTTAGTGTTCTAGCTCATCACTTTCTTTTTTCCAACTGTCCCTTTTTTCTCACCCTGCTTCCCACTGTTCACATGGCTGGAGAGATTAAGGGCACAGATAAACAACACAAAAGTAAAAAAAAAAAAAAAAGTAGTGGACAGATAATACAAACCACTAAAACAGTGCAACTTTGCCTAACCCATTGAGAATTAACCCTTAAAGAATATGGTGTGAGTTTAGGTTTCATCTGTCTACATCCATCAAGGGTATCCATTTCCTAAAGGTAAAAAGGTTTTTTCATGCTCATCTGATGAGGGATAGGAATATACCCACTGAGAGAAGCTACCATTAGATAGCTGCACATCTTGTCTAGGTCTGAGCCTGAAGTTATTTACATCAGCATGGAAAGACAAGGTAAAGTACAAGGAGGTGTCTTTTCATCTGTTCATATCATAAGGAGATAAAGAGAAGTAGAACATTGCCCCCTTCACACAGATACCTCATCCCCTAGCTGTTACGGGTACTGTGGAGGGAGGAATCCATTGTCGGTATAAAATGCCCACTGTGAAATGTGATACCACATTGTGTAAGAGTTACTCCTGGTGGAATCCTTCAGGAAGTAGGTAAGTGAACTTTGGTAATAGGGGGCTCAGCTGAGAAACATATGGGAATATCAACAGTTGACTTACAGGATGCATATGCAGATATCCAAAATGGAGGAAACTCATCATTTTGAAAGAGTTGCAGTGGCACAGCAGAAGGAAGAGCTATCCAAGTCTGCTGCAGACCCCCACCTCCTCTCTTCAATCAGGAGGAGGTTGATGAGGATGTGACACAGACTATGGAGTTTATTGGAATATTGCTGTGTTCCTGGGATTCATACTATAACAATGTTGTGTGCTTCAGTTTCTATTGGCTTGCTTATACAGGGGGGAAAGAATGGGTTAAATAGATAGTGAAGCCAGATTTGCTGGCCTGTGAGATAGATCCACTAAAGGCAGGCAAGTTTCTTTGAGTAGATGTGATATATTTTATTACACCAACTGTAGCCAACACGGTTACAGCCAAAAACCCAGCAACGTAAAATGGAAATGGCCATTTGAAATGGAAACTTCACAACATGAAAAGAAAAAAATAAACTCAGTTAATCTAATAAAAGATATCCCATCTACTCAAAGGACCTTGCCTGTCTATGTCCTTATACCAACACAGCTATAACCAAAAACATCCACTACAAGAACTTGAGTAGCCCTGTTGATGGTTCAGATGCTCCAGAGGCATCAAAGGGAGGAGACTGAGATAAGCATAACAATGGACAGGGAAGTGTGAACAAGCAGGGTATCTGGCTGGTGTGGAGACAAGTTTGAAAAAAGAGATTAGCTGAGTAGCTTTGGGGTTTGTGACTGTATACACTTGACAGGGAACAGTTAAGTAACTTTTGGGTCCTCAGGGCTTTATGGCACAGACTGGGGACCATGCCACTACTTACCCCTTTGAAGGCAGCAGAGAACCTCTGACTGGGCAGCCTTTGCCCCAGTAAATGCCTTTATTACATACTGTCACCTTTGCTGCTGGGAACGTGGTTTGTAAGAAAAAAAGCCCACACCAAAAATATAAAAAGTAAAAGAAAGCAAAACATTGAAAATGAACATTTTCAAAAACAAAATCTTTCTTAAGTATTAAGAATAAATGCAAAATCATTCCACAGCAAAAGCTGCATAATTAAAATGATTGAAGTTTTTCATGAGAAAATGTTCTAAGAAGTTGTCTTCCATCTTTCCACCATCACCAAGTAGTTGACATTCACAGTAATAAGACCACTTAACCTATTTTCCATTTTATTGTGTAAAATGAGGTTCATTTGGCCACTTTCCAATCTTTAAACGCTAAATATAAATGATGTCATGAGTAGTTAGGGTAAGGCCAGAGAGTTTGATCACTGAATTTCCATGTGGCAGAAGTCATATCCTTTTACCCCCAAACCATATACAACTCTGTACCTGAATTAGCAGAAGAATATGTGAAAAGTGGCAGTAGTGCCCAGATTCCTTAGGTCACACAGCAGCACTTAGTTCTGCACTAGCATACTGACTGCACATATATATCTCACTCCGGGCATACTCCTTTCCAGTGCTGCAGTCTGCATGACTTAAAGGCAGAGGTCTTAATTTAGTCCTAAGGTGCAAGAAGACAGAAGTGTAATGAGGGATGGGCAACTGGGGCACTAGTCCTGGGTGCCCACTGAAGACAGTGGCTTCTACCAATGCTAGTCCAGCTACCACAGCCTGCCCTAGCCCCTGCTGCCACCAAGGTAGTTAGACCCTGGTAGTTACATCTCTGCAATAAGATAAACTAATATTGATATTACCCAGTGTATTGGCAGCAATTCCATGAACTGCAAACTATATACTGTGGATTTTATTTCTTAGCCAAAAACCAGCTCCAGCTATCCCTTTCTCACATGGAACCTTCTTGTCTAAGTCTCATATCAAACTTGTGCCATGGCTTGCTATTTTCCTGCAAAGCAAGTACCTATTTCCCATCCTTCCCTTTCTCCTCCCAAGATTTCTCAGTATATGAGGACTGGGGAGATGCAATGTACTTTAACAGGCATCCCACATTAAGAATCTGTTGGATAGGTCACTCCTCAACCCCAGTCACTGAAAGCCAAGGTCTACATGTTTCAAAAATAAAGCACATAAGAGCAGAGCTGACCTGATGATGTAAGAAATTGAAAATGCCTGATCTTATGGGGTTGGGGTGAGGCATAATTAAACAATAAAGTTCACAGGGAGTGTACCTACATGAGGCGCTTACTACAGAGTTGCCTAATTAGCTCTACAGTACAGTATCACTGTCTACACAAGCAATGCTATTAGGCTGGAGTAAACTAATTAACTCCACTGTAGGATAGTACTCCTCAACACAAGTACTATTCTACGTTAGAGTTATTTACTCCTTTGCGACACATGTAGACAATGCCCAGGGCTGGCTAGGGCATGAGGAAGCTACAGTGCAGGGCTGCCTGACAGCTAGCTCTGCACCATAGCACCCTCACCCCCAGACCAACCCCTCCAGAGCTGAGCAGGTACCGCCCTGGGTTGGCAGGCTGGCCACCCCCCTCCAGCCCCTGCCAGCTGGTGCTGCACCATGCTGTCTTAACGTACTGCAGTCCTGGGTGCACATGTAAATGTTGCACCTAGAAGCAATAAATTCTGGTGCAAATTTTGCTGGACTGTATTGTGTCTAAATAATTTCACATGTAGATGCACCCAGGGAATAGAAACGGGATGTAGTTATTGCTCAGAATTCCAATACGAGGAGTAGAATTCTCAGGAGAGTACCTTACAAGGCAAATTAATAATTATACAATACCCACATTATAAAACCTCACAGGCCCTGTTTTATGACCTACAAAAACCAAGAAAGAAAAAGCTCTGCCTTCGACATTTATGGGGAGATTGAGACATAAGCATTTTGTACCATTACTTTTTTCATAGATTATATAATTACAGGCACAATTGCTTCACTGGAATTCTGAAAACCTGAAGGAATTACCATTGCTAAAATATTTCAAGTCGCCTCAGGAGGTGCTGAAGAGTAGTTTGCCAT